GTGAAAACTATAAGAAATATGAAGAAAGAGAAAGAAAAAGAGAGTAAGACAAACAGAGAAGACCAGCTCCCAGCTGAACTGCAGCTGAATGTAGCCTTTAGAGTGACCACCAGCAAACCCAATCTGCTCAAATGAGTCCAGGCTAAGAGAGCAAAACTATAAGCAAATAAGATAGCTGTTTTAAGTCACTTAGTTTTAGGGTTGTTACATAGCAATAAATGACCAAAACAATGTTTACCTGGTTCCTTGTGTTTTTGCATAATTTGTTCAAAACCCAGAGAAAAGGAGAGATGTAATTAATTATAACCCCAAACATTCATACAATCTCAGAGGATAGTCTTATGCCCTTCTTAATGTTAGTGACCCTACCAAACTCTGAGTTCCAAGAGGACAGGTTTCATGTTTGTCTTCTCAGCACTGTACCCCAGCACCCAGCACAATACCTGGCATGTAATAGGTACAGCAGGCTGTATGAACAAACAATAGGTTTAAGGAATGTCAAGACAAATGTTAGTCTTCCTTGTAACTTAGGAGTTATCTGGCATATAGTTTTACATAATATGTTCCAAAAGTTGTCTAATCATGTGTATCTGAAGTGTATACTAAGAGTTTTCTAATGGCAAATCATTTTTTTTTAATGACAAAGCTTTTTATGTAAAAGAAAAAATCATGAAATATCATGATATATACTTTCGGATATCACGTCCTGATTTATATGCTCCAAAAACACAAATTTCCATAGACTAAGCTTATATAACGGGAGAACAAACTTCACCTGTAAAAGCAGCTGAATTAAAAGTCAACAAATTTTCAGAAGGAAATTAATACCTACATTTCACCAATGTACTTTTTCAGATAAGAAATCAACATCTGCTCTTTCCTTGACAGGAGGATACCTATTTTGTGATAAATGCTTACAAATTTCAAAATTACCCAGCAACAGCCACTGTAATGAGGTTACCATTTTAACACAAAGGAAGAATTAGACAAGTTCAGATCTATACAGTAAAAAGGTTTAACAGAGATTCCAAACAGGTAAATTCAAACTCCTCATATATCACCTTCAGTTAAATTTCCATTGTAAATGAAGAGTTAGCAAAAAAAAAAAAAAAAAAGAAAAGAAAAAAAAATTACTGACCTAGGAACAAAAATATGGGTTTTTAGTTCTAGATCTAATTTTAGCCACTTACTAGTCATATACTTGGAAATTTTTTTCCAACTTCCTTGAGCATCAGTGCATTCATCTAAAAAACAATGATTATCTTCTGACACATCTACTATTCAGCTGTCGTGAGAATCAAATGATAAAGTCTATACAGCCACTATGGAAAAATGTCAAATACTATACAAATATAAGATATGATACTCTTCTTAATGTCAGCAAAGGGTAGAAAAATCATATGTGTATGTGCTTTTGCTGGACATTTTTCCTCCCTTAAGTATTAGCAACTAGTTCCTTCAACACTACTATAAAGACCAATTTATTGGTTTTTCCAATACTTGTTATTACATCACATTTTTATAGAAAGAGTAAAAAAGACCCCAGTCTTCCTAATAATTATGGAATCAAAGTTTCTAGAGCTATAAAAGATACTAAATAATAACTTGCTCAGGCTCCCTACTAGGAAGATAATCTTATAGGTGGAGAAAAGTCAATTATTTACTAATCAAATTATGCTTTAACCATACTGGGGAGAGTTAGCTCCTTAATCTAATGAAGAAATGCAGTGACTAGGACCCTGAACTTCTTTTCTTTTGTAAACTTTCCATTTTTACTAGATAAGGCTTCATGAATGAAGTGAAAGGATTATTCTTAAGTAAGGCATACATGAATATAGAAAATAGAATAAAGATAAAAATTCTTAAGGTTTCTTATTTCACTTCTCCCCCTCCCCCCAAACCCAAACTAAGATACAAAGAAAATAAAAAAGTAAATGATTGGTCTGTTATTGCTATCTGCTCTCCATACACCCAATTCATGTCTCCTCTCACTAGCTCTCCTGCACACGGAAAACAAGAAGGGTACAGAAAGTTCAATGAAAATCAAAGACCCAACAATCACAAAATGTTAAAAACTGAAAGGAACCTCCAGGATCATTTAGTCTTACTGATGAGGTCACCTAAAGTCAATAACTATATGCAACTGATGGTAAATCCTGCATCTTCTTACAAAAAAGAAAGTAATCATTGTCAATCAGCTGATTCCACTTTACCCACTTGCTAACTGAAATACTTAAGGCAAATCATTTAACTTCTTGGGCTACTTTGTTATATAATAACAAATAACGAACCATAGTCAAAATTCTTTGTAAAACTGTACACCACAACACAAATGTAAAGAGATACTGTATCTAAGTGTATGTAAGATATGTCTCCACAGTAGGGATTATCAGCAAATGGAAGAATTTGGAGATTCTATTGTTTTAAAAAGCCTCCAGTAGTTCTGAGAGCTGCTCCTAGCCCAAGCCACTGACCCACGGGTTGATGAGGGAGCTTCAGTTGAGTTCATGGATTTCCCTAAAATTATATCCAGAAAGCACAGGTGCATATGGAAATTCTCCAGGCCAGATTTTTTTAAGTTTCACCAAGGATCGGTAATCACCAAAAGGTTAAGAACTAGGCTCCCTGCTCAGTGGAGAGTCTGCTTCTCCCTCTCTCTCTGCCTACTTGTGCTCTCTGTCAAATAAATAAATAAAATCTTAAAAAAAAAAAAAAAAAAAGAACTACTGCTGTAAAGTAACATACATCTGCCGAAGATAAAGCTTCCACAGATAACTGCTCAAAATGGTACCATTATTTTCCCAACCTGGATCAGAATCTCAGTTATTTTTACTTTCTTCATTTTCTCTCTCATCATCAAATTCCCTCCATTCAACTTCCTTCCTCCTTTCCATTCCTAATATTACAGCCATAGTTCAGACCCTCATCACTTAAGACCACAGCAATCAAGAGGTCTTTCTACCTCCGGATTTCTACTTACATGACACATTGCTGCCAAATTAATCCTCTGAAAACAAAAGTTTAATAATTTCATTCACAACTCAAAAATCATCTGTAAAACCCCCAACACCTATTAAATCTAAGGTCATTAGCCTTGCATTAAAAGCAATCATAAACTGGTTCAAACTTCTACTTCAAGTTTTATCACCCTTTATGTTTGTACAAATACTCTGTTTCATCCGGATATAACACTTGCCTCTCCCCAAATGTATGAACTCTGCGCTCTAATCTCTTAGTCCCTTTTCTCTGCTTGCATTACCTTTCTCAGCTTATCAAAAGTCATAGTCATCCTTAAAAACAAAAGTTTCAGAGGCCAGAAGCTCTATGAATTAACCCTTCTTACCTCACCTTGCCAAATAAGATGTGAGTTCTACCCCTTCTGAATTTGAATTCTATATGAAACTTAACTATGTATTAAAAGATAAATGAAGCATTTGTGTATAGTCCTACCTGCCTAACTATTCTGGGAAGGCAGAAACTGCTGTAATCCTTTATATTCCCCCAAATACCTCGCACAATCATGCAGTAGATGCCTAATAATTGTGCAAGGAAGAGATATTTCAGCCTTCGTAGGGTAAACAGCAAAGATTACTATATCTCTTTGAAGGCAGAGAACTTATTTGCAACAACCTCTATGATGCCAGGCTTCCAAAAAACATAACCCTTACTTACTGCTTTTTAAGTCCTGGTATTGGATGTCTTACATTTTGCATTTTAAGGGAAGAACTATTTGAAAACCTTAATAAGCTACATACCAAATAACTATTCTACATACTTTACACTTCTCAATCTGAGTAGCTCCCAACACTTGGCTACTAAGTTTTCAGTTTAAAAAATACTATTTTGAAAAGTGATAATTTGCAGTCACAGCTAATTATCTACTTTATGGCCAAAAACAAGTCACATGAATAAAGTAATGCCTTTATTTTTTTAAAAGGTGCATTTTGCTTGTATAGTACACAGAGCCTTATGAGACAGGTAAAGTGGATTTATACCTAAGGATGAATTCTTGCAGAAACCCACATACACTGTACACCAGGCACTTCGGGTAAAAACACCAAAGGTGGGGGAAAAGCTAACTTTGGACATTATTCTTTCCCACTATCACCAGTAGCTTTTTAAAGCAGAAACTTAAATCTTTTTGCACATTAGCCTACACGAAAAAATAAAAACTTACCAAGCAGAAAAAAAAAAAAGCCACATCAAGCTCCTGGAAAATACTTTATCCCGGAAGGGTAAGAATGTCAAAATAACAGACACTCGTCTTTGGTAAGGAAGGCTTCATATAATTACAGGAGCATAGGACGCTCAACTCCAAAAGATGGAGTAAAGAAAGGACTGATCATTTAAAGGTTGTAGAAACAATGGACAAATACAAAATTAAAACATTTTTTTTTTTTAAGATGAAAGGAGAAGGTCCAGGTCACAGATGAGATAAGGACTAGTAAAAACTGCAAGGTCACTGGGACCTACCAGGTCACAAAGGTGGAGGTGGGGGTTGTGTTGGGGGGGGGGAACTGCAGAGTCAGTGAAGAACCGGGAGTGATAAGAACACCTCAGAAGACGACGTTCTAAGGCTGGGAGTCCTTGGTTTGGGACGACGAAATTGCGGTGAATGTCAGAGCACGGGCAGTAAGTCCATACACTGGTGTTTTTTGGAGAGGTGTTAGGGAAAGGAAGAGAAGGTAGACGGAACGCGAAGAAAAGGCTAAGGAAGCTTGAGAACCGCGGCTGCAGAGTCACGGAAACACTTCGCTCCAGTATCATTAGCTCGGGCCTGTGCCAGGGCCAACTCGGGGCAAGACCCGTGACCCCACCCCAGAAAACTCCCGGCCCCGGGACTGGAGAAGGCAGCCAGGGCGGCGCGGACCGTCCCCGACGGCCCCCTGAGAGGGTCCCGCCCGGGGCTGACCGTGCCCGGCTACCGACACCGCCGCGAAGCTCTGGGCCCGCGCCCCCGCCCCACCCGCGCCCCCAGCCCCCAGCCGCGGCGTCCTTACCCGGCGCAAAGCTGTCGGCTCCCGGCGGTCGGGCGGCCACAGCAGCAGCGCCTCCTCCAGTGGCGGGCGCCCTCACCCTTCCGCGCCCAAGATCGCCATCTCGCAGCAGGCGCGGCGGCAGCGGCAGCGGCAGCAGCAGCAGCCACCCAGGCGTCGGCCCCGGCAGCCCAGGCCGCCTGCAGCCACTTGGAACCCGCTTGCCGCGCTCGGCGACACCCGACCCTCCCCGGCCACGCGCCACCCCCAGCAGACCCCACACCTCCCTCCTCAGGAGCGCGCCGCGTGCTCCCGTCGCCGGCGCCGCGCCGCGAGCGCGCGCCTCCCCGCCAGCCCCGCACCGCACGCTGCGCCGCGGCCGCCTAAAACCAACTCCGGACCCGGAATCCGGCTTCCCGCGAGCATGCGCAGCGAGGGCGCCCCGATGATGCTTTTGGAAAACTCCGCTCCTCCGGGTCTTCGGAGCGGTCGAGGAGAGGTGGAGGGCCAGCCAATGGGAGATGGGGGCGTGGCCCGAACCTGTGGAAGGGGCGGGGCCGCCGCTGAGATTTGGAAAGAGGCTTTCCTAAGCAGGAGGTGGGTGGTGCTGACTTGACTTTCCGGTTCGGAGTAGAACCGGTGAATGACCTGAAGTAAAGTCCTCCCGGCACTGGCGTTCTTTTCTTAAATGCTTTAGAGCAAAAGTAGGCTGTTAATAAATACTCCTTGACCTAACTGAGTATCTGACTTAGTACCCACTGCAAGAGTAAATATTGCATTTAACAGATGGCCATACCAGAAGACTCCCACTTTATTTTTATTAGTAATCAAAACGTTCACTCCCTCCACTCCTGTATGAGTACAATGATAAAACTAATACTAAACAAGTACATGGGTCAGTGCAACAAAGTCACACGGCAATGCCATGAAAAAGGGTTTATTATCTCCATTTATACAAACGAGTCAACTAGTCTCTTAGAAGTACTGTTGGTTCTGTGTATTGCTTTGAGAAGAAAGGCCACCCTACAAATAGAAATCAGTGGTGACCACATTACTCACCAGATGACCTGGTCTTCTACTTCAGAAATGATAAAGGCCACCAACGACGGCTTTCTACAATTTTAGCCCAACCGCCTTACCCAAGCCCCACAAATTACCTACATCCACACCCAAGCTTATTAGTTTCCCTTCTGTTTCAAAGACTGGGTGTCCCTGCTCCTCTCCAAAGTGAACCTCTTGACTGTCCACTCCCTCCTGTGCCCCCCTCAGCATGATCGTGTTTTAATTCTTTTCTGTCTTAAATTTTTCCTTGACTTTAAAACCTTTTCTAATTATTTTTCCATCCTAATTAAGCTCTTGAAAGAACTGTGTACCAAGAACAGCATCAACACCCCATGAATAATTGTAAGATTAAATAAATCACTCTTTTTAAAAAAAAATTATTTATTATTTGAAAGAGAAAGTGACGGAGAGAGAAAAAGCATGAGGGGGGAGCAGAGGGAGAGGGAGAAGCACATTCCCCACCCAGCAGGGAGCTAGATGCAGGGCTCCATCCCAGGACTCCTGGATTCCAGAATCATGACCTGAGCCAAAGGCAGATGCTTAATCTGAGCACCCAGGCGCACCCCCCCCCCCAAATAAATAACTCTTGATTGACTGAATGTATGTTCTCTTCATCTCCGTTCCATCAGTTTCTACACTCTGAATTCCGACCAGGGTTCAATGCATACCATATCCATTATGATTATTCTAAAATACACATCTGAGCATGTCGCTTCACTGTTTACTTTCACTGGCTCTCTCACTGGCTCTTCAGAGCTTTCAAGAGAAAAATTAACATGATCTTCAAGGCCTCTTTACTCTTGCGTACTCAGTCCCTCCATCTTCAAGGTTCAGAACTGTCTTCAGAGTTCCCTGATTGTGTTCATTGATCTCTGTTTTAATGAGTACTGTTTCCTCTAAACTTGTCACTGTTTTGCTTGCCCACTCCCTTTAAAAATGAATTCAAGAACATGCTTGCAAGTCCACTCTCAGATAATTACACACACATACCCAGCAGAAGTCTGCATACCATCTCCAGAATGCCTACAGGCCTCCTTCCACTTCCTGCTCACTTCAGCCCCCCTGAGTCCTCAGTTTCCCCTCAGTTCAGTTCCATTCAGAAGCTCCTAATAGTCACCTACGCCCCTAACTTGACATCAATATTGAGACAACTTTTCATTACTAAATATTTCTTTGGTTTCAAATGAATACTATTATAAATAAGTATCTTTTTATAAATCATTGTGTCCTTACATACTTAGTTTAAATCCTTAAAAGTAATCAGAGGTGTGAACAATATTAGCCCTTTTGAAACGTATTGGCAAGTTGCCTTCCAGAAAGAACTTAGGCTTAGGTATCATATTGCCTGGGATCAAAATGCAGTTCTGCCACCCAGGAAGGCCACATTCAGACTTTCATGGGTCCCAGATGCCTTTACCTTTGTGGGTCTCTTCCTCCATAAGATAATATTAAAAATTATATTTATAACTGCACTGATAGAAAGATAAACATATTAATATTATACATGAAAACATTTTCTTCAGCCGTTCCCTTCTGATTTTAAAAGAAATTAAGACATTTCTATGGGCCCTAAAAGTATGGTAAGCCTGAGGCACTGTACCTACTGACAATTAGATAAGTCAATTTTGCTGCCACTTACAAACTAGGAGATTTGGCCAAATTCATTAATCTGACAGTGCCTCAACCAGAAAATTGGTATAATGCTACTACGTGATGTTGTAGCGAAAAGCAAATGAATTGCGACAAATAAAATTATCTAGAATTATGTGGCACATAATAAATTACTGTTGTTATATTGTTATTATCAATTTTCCTACAGCACTGTTTGAGAGTATATTAGTGTCCTTCTTTACTGTGCTCAGGTCATCATGGTATATTTTCATATGTGCAAATATGGTATCCTACTGTCAGTCCATTGTTCATTTTCTTATTGGGGTAGTCACCAAAAAAAGGCAGCTGAAATATAATATAGATATTGATCCCAGATGAAATGATTGGCCTTTTCTATTTTTGTTTTCTTCTATTATTTTGTGCTTCACAAGTCCTTTCCCATCCTGAGATCCTATCATTATCTGTCTTTATTTTTTTCTATTTATTTGGTAATTTCACTTTTTTTTTCATTAAATAATTTAATCCTTTCAGGTTTATTTTGGAATGATGATCTATTTTTTATTTTCTCTAAGTAGTCTGTGATCTTCCCCAGCTTGTTTGTTAAAGAACCCTTCTCCAACTATGTTGATTTTAATTTTTTTTTTTAAGATTTTATTTATTTATTTGACAGAGAGAGACACAGCAAGAGAGGGAACGCAAGCAGGGGAAGTGGGAGAGGGAGAAGTAGGCTTCCCGCTGAGCAGGGAGCCCGACGCGGGGCTCGATCCCAAGACCCCGGGATCATGACCTGAGCCGAAGGCAGATGCTCAACGACTGAGCCACCCAGGCACCCCCCAACTATGATGATTTTAAAATATATACAAATTTATTCATATTCCTTCCTTTAAAAAGTAGAGACTAATTCCCTCCCAAGTGAATGTGAGTTGTACTTAGTGACTTGCTTCTAATGGATACAATACAGCAGAAGTGACAGGCTGTCACTTCCAAGAGAAGGTCTTAAAAATGTATTGTGGCTCCTCCCTACTCTCTCTCAGATTACTTGCTCTGGGGAAGGCAGTTACCATGTCATGAGGACACGTCAGGTAACTTTATCAGATGCCCACATGGCAAGGAACAGAATATCCTGCCAAATAACAGCAAGGATTTGAGCTTCCTGCCAATCTCCATGTGACTGAGCCATCTTGGAAGCAGTTTCTCCAGCCCCAGTCAGGCATTTAGATGATGCAGACATTTTGATTTCAACCACATTAGAAAAGTTGAACCAGATCCCCCAACTAAGTCACTCTCAAATATCTGACCCATAGTAACTATGAGATAATAAATGTTTATTGTTTTAAGCCACCAAGTTTGGGGGATAATTTGTTACGCAGCAATAGATAACAAATAAACTAACCCAGTGGTTTTCAACTGGGGACAATTTTGCATCCCAGGGAACACTTGGCAATGTTGTGAGATACTTTTGATTGTCACAACTGATGGGGAGGTAGGGGGAGAGATGTCCATTGCCATCTTGTGGGTAGAAACCAGAGAGTGCTAAATTTCTTCCAGTGCACAAGACAGTACACACAGACACACAGACACACACAGACACACACACACACACACACACACATACCCCTGCAGCACTGAAGAATTATCAGACTCAAATGGCAATATAGTGCCAAAGGTGAGAAACCTCGCACTAACTTGTTTTCCCTGCACCTTAAAATTTCCCTCTTTCACATGTACTTATGAAAGAGGTGGGTTTGCTTCCTATCCTTTGTTCATTTGGGAGCTGCTTTACCTTGTTTTATCCCAGGTCCTAGGCTTTCTGCCACTGGATAATAATTTTACTTTTTCAAGGATTTGGTATAAATGGAATCATTTAGTATGTACTTTTTTGTGTCTGGCTTCTTTAGTTAAGCATATTTAGAGATTTGTTCATATTGTTGTGTGTAGCAATGCTCCTTCTTTATTGTTCACTACTATTCTATTGTATGGGTTTGCCAAATTTTTAAAATGTTTGTTCTATTCATGGACATTTTTTTTGTTTCCAGTTTTTGGTTATTATGACTAAAGATTCCATGACCATGTGGTTAAAAATCTTTGTGTTGACATATGTTTTTATTTTTCTTGGGTAAATAATGCCTAGGAGTGGAATTGCTGGGTCATGGTAAGTACATATTTAACCTTATAAGAAACTGCCAACCTGCTTTCCAAAGTGGTTGTACCATTTTCCATTCCTACCAGCAACGTATGTTCCAGTTGTTCCATTTCTTCTCTAACACTTGATAATGTTGGTCCTTTTTGATCTTAGCCATTCTAGTGAATGTGTATTGGTAAGTCATTGTGTTTTCTCTTGTATTTCCCTGATAACTAATGATGTTGAGCATCTTTTCATTTACTTATGGATTATGTGTATATTTTCTCTTCTGAAGTGTCTGTTCACATCTTTTCCCCATTTCAAACTGTTTTTGTCTGTTCTACATATAATTCTATATA